GGCAACCTGGGATATAGCTTAGTCGTACAGTTCCTGCCCAGCAGCACAAGGTCCTGAGTTCAATTCCCAGTACCCCCTCAAGAACAAAAATGAGTAGATTGGGGCTGGTGAGATGGCTCAGTGGTCTAAGGCACCTACTTAGAACAAGCTTAGCAAAGCACAGGGACCGCGGTTCAATCTCCCAGCACCACACGCCAGCCAGCCCCGCCCCCTGGTGGGCTGAGCTGGCCACACATGCACACACACATATAAATTAATTAATTTTTAAAAACTGAGTAGAGACATAACTCAGTGGCAGAGTGCTTGCCTAGTATGTAGCAAGGTTAAAGGTTCATTCCCTAGTCACACACATATGCATATGCACAGGCAATCCTTGCACTCTGTGAAGCTGAAGCAAGAGCATCACTAGTTTAAGCCTACCCTGGGCAACTCAAACAAAACAAAAATGAGGACCTTGCCCTTGCCAGGCAGGAACTTATGCCACTGAGCTAACCTCCCCAGACGAAACCTGTCTCTTTTTATTTAGAGGAAAGATGTAACTCAGTAACAGAAGTACAGGCTACAATGCCCAAGGTCCATGTACCGAACACACACATACCCCTCCTACTATTTAATCTAGGGATTAAGCATGCAACTTAAAACTTCCACTTGGGGGAATGTACAGTGTTATTACAGCACAACCAACACACCATGGCTTATTAAAAACAAAATATGTAACAGATGCTACGGTACCTCTTTGTGGTGATTTTTCTACCATTAACGATTTTAGTAGAAGTTGATATAGATTTGAAGTTACCCATCCCACTGCCGCCAAATGATGTGGACGAAAATGAAGTGAGGCCCCCATGACCTAGGGATCCAAATGAAGTAAATCCTACAGGAAAAAAGAATAAGAAGAAAAAGAATGACTGGCAGCCAATACATCAAGTTCCAAATGAGCAGCTGACAAGTTATCTAATTCAATGGTCCAAGAGGTCAAGGGCTAAGCTAAAGAACTGCAGGGCCCAGGGGAGGGGAGGGCAGCTATCTCAAGAGCCACTGGCCATGTCCTGGCAGGACACAAGCAACATTGGCAGCTGCTCTTCCCTGTTTCTCCACCAGCTGCCCTGCAAGACCTTACTAGCATCCCATGGCCCAAGACCCTCGGGAGACCTGGTGTTTTTTTGCACCGAGTATCCTGAAGAGAGTAGGGAACGGTGCATCTTTGTGCAACAGGAAAAGAGCAACATCACCACCACAGACCATATGCCTTGATGGCTCAGTCTGCATTGGGACCAAAGGGGATAGAAACCACATCACCAAAAGGGTAAGGCAACTTCACAAAGGACCCTGCAATTCACCATCTTCAGTCTAAGATCTACTTATGTAACTCATGTTTTCTTATGACCTAAAAATCAGGAAAACAAAAAAAAAAATTGCAATTGGGGCTGGCGAGATGGCTCAGTGGTCTAAAGCACCTACTTAGAACAAGCTT